ATCCTCAGGCTAATAGAAGCAGCAGGAGGCCCAGTGGGCAGGTAGGCAGGCAACACCGGACAAGAAATAAGACCACAGCTGATCTCACACGTTTCAATCTGCTAACTCTTAGATTATGGCTGCTGCTTTGCACCTCCATGTGATTACTGTACTTTAACACTCCGAAATCACAAACATCTCCTTTTCTCATAGAATAATACTGTTTGGACCAGCCCTAGAAAAAAAACCCTGCGTGGTCTGACTCCTCCGTGACTGTAGCTTCTCACTCTCGTACTGCTGCGTTACGTCTTGTTTTGAGGGGAACCGTAGCTTCCTGCTTAATTACTTTTGTTTGTTTATCCACGGGTCTGAGCTCTGTCCAGTTTAGTCCTCCAAATTAGTGATACAGCTGCATCACTGGTGTGTGTTTATCTTGTCAGTGATACTTCAGACCTGATGTACTTTAGTGATAAACAAATTCACAGCTTTTGCAGAGGCTAGAAATAACTTTGATTTCATTATCAAGAGACCCATGAATGGAAAATGGCTTTAAAAGCCGTATTTGAACACGAGACATTTCTGTGTGAGAGTGGCTGGATTTCAGAGTGGAGCTGTGGATGGTTTAATCAAATTACTTTTATTGCCACATCATAGGTTTATTTACGCAGGTGTGAAGGTGAGTGAAAATCTTAGGTGCGTAGCCCCCTTATAGTACTTAAATACAAAAATAACTAAAAAAGTATAATGGCATTAAAAAATAGTGTATTAATTTATTGTGATAACATTAACACCTTAAGTTTGAAAGCACTTGTGTTTACAATTGAATAATGTAGCAGTAATAACTTATTATACGTCTACAGGTTAAAAGATAAAGCTCTTAAAAGATAACAGCCTTATTTCGCTAAAAGTATTTGTGATTAGTATGAAATGTTTGATTTCTATAATTTCTGTGTTATCGTTTAATCTTCCAGGCATAATGAATGCTAAGGTTGTCTTTGTGTATGTTTATGTTTAACTGTGTGGTCAGAAGCTACAGGGTCGCAGGTCGTCCACATGTCATGATGAGAGAGGTCCAGAATCCCCTCAGAAACAGGAAGAAAACACCTGTCTGGTTGGGCGTGGCTTAGCCAGTTACCAGGTCGACACAGCTGGCAGCCAATCGGATGCAAGCGAGAAAGATTCGTCTCCTCAGGACAGCAGCAATGATGCAGACAGCGAAGCGTCCGAATCGGAATGGTCACCAAGAGGTCCTACAGGAACCGGTCAGAGCAACCCAGGAAGTAAAGCCACTTCATCCGCCAGTGCTTCTTCACGTAGCCCTGTCCAGTTCTTCAAGCAAAGTCCCGCCTTCTCCACCACCCATAATTCTGTCCGCAGTCAGCAGGGTGGAGCCGTTGAGCAGCTGGTCAGTGCAGTGTCCAAACTGGGCCTGGTCCACACCCCTCTCGACACTTTGCCCCTCAGCCACGGGACAGAAACACCAGCCGAAAGAGAAAAGGAGCGCATGAGCCACCAGGGGGCGTTCCAGGCCCTGTCACACAGCTACACACCCGCGTCCAAAGAGTGCTCAGTCCAGTCCTGCCTGCACCAGTTCACTTCTGTCGAGCTGCTGATGGGAAACAACAAGCTGCTGTGTGAAAACTGCACAGAGCGCAGACACCGGCAGCTCAGGAGGAGCGGAGCAGCAGGTACGGCGAAAATAGACATACAGACTTTAATTCTGTCTCACATGAAGCATAGAGTTACCTCCCGTAGGATTCCACGGGACACAGATTTGCCTCCTAGGCGTCCAAAGGGTTAGCGCTATCTTCCATAAGCTTTCAGAGGGCATACATTTACCCCCAATAGGCTTCCATAGAGCGCAGAATGATCTGCTATTGGCTTCCTTATAGTTTTACTATAAAATTAAATGCAGTAGCACTGCTGGAGAACATTGCATCTCTGCATCAGCAGCATATTCATTTCTAAAAGCAGTTCTCTGCTCTCGTTCTGTATTTCATTTGATCTATGAACCATTTTTTGGTTGCAGCCCAGTGATTGAAAAAATCACTCTAATCCCATACATTATGGTTCAATAGTGGATGATTTAGTAATTTAAAGAATAACAGATGTTTTTATCCTGATTGTAACAAACGCAGCTCATATACATAAAGATGACATAAATGAAAACAAACAATGTGAGTGTATTTTTTTTGCAGATAAAAAGGCAGAGAAGGTCTACACAAGCGCTCGTAAGCAGATGCTGATCTCAGTGCTGCCCCCGGTGGTCACACTGCACCTCAAACGCTTCCACCAGGTACAGAGAGCATTAGTATAGACAGATATAATGTGTCCACAGAGCACATATATTGTAGCCATATGTACATTAAAAAAAAAGTCTCTGCATTACTCATTCGTTGAGATGTAGGTCCTTAAGTCCTTATGAGCAGTTTGATGTGAAATGGTACTTTGTAGAGAAAATAGTGTGATAGGAACCAGAAATGTCTACAACACAAATACAGACATTTTACTATCCAAAACCACCACTGAACCTACACGAGTCATGAGGAATGTAAATTTAAGGTAATACAGTAATTTAAAAAAAATGCATTTTCATTGGATACTGTTTTGCCTCACAATGCCCTGCATGTATTTTTAAACAAGTACATTTTATGCCAAAACTGTCAGGCAGCGCACATGGAACCATTTCATGTAATAACTTTGAGTGAGGGGGCTTTTAGAGGTGGACGTCTGGTTCCTGTCACCACCACTGTGAACAGTTCTGACTTTCACTAGAATGACTTGCTTCACAATTCACAATAGATGTCTTTTTTATTCATATGTTTAAGATTGAGTTGTGCAGATTCTCTTTTGAGATTATTTATGTTGCCTTATGTTGAATTTGATATTTGATCTTGGCTACAGTTTCACAGTTTTGAAAATCAGACGGTTATCGGACTCTTTGGGTTACTGAAATTTCTTTTCACTGTTTTAGCTCATGAAAATTAGTAGCTAAGTTCTCATACTGGTCAGGCTTTTGTGTGTCGGCTAACTTGACTTGTGTGATTGCAGGCTGGGATGAATTTGAGGAAGGTGAATCGACATGTGGATTTCCCCCTCATCCTCGACCTGGCGCCGTTCTGCTCAGCTTCCTGCAAGGCAAGGAGGCATCATTCAGAACAGACTACAGTGTTAGCATTAACATCTGGCACTATCCACTGTGTTATTGTTAGCGTTACACAGGGGCTCCAGTTCTGGTTCTGGAGGGTCTTAGTCCTCCACAGTTTGGTGGTTTCACTGTTCAAGCTGACACCTGATTCATCTCTGCAGTTGGTTGTATGGTTTAGTACAGGGTTTCTCAACCTGTGGTCCACAAAACTCCCTCTAGTGGTCCGTGGGCCTGATTCAGGGGAGGCAGTAGTTCGTAATGGGCTGGTGACGTCACTTTAATGTCATAAAATCATAAGTGGGAAAAAAAGATTAACTTAATCAAAGAAACAAATGTTTTCAAATTATAACCAATATAAACAAATGAAAACACTGCAGGAGTGGCTAAATAAACGTCATCAATTTGAGACGACGCAGCCACAGGAGCGCGATGCAGACAGTGAGTGAGCCGGACATGGAGAAGTTTCTCAGGGCGCTTTCACACCTGCCTTGTGTGGTTTGGATCTGCCAGACTTTTTCGTTAGTTCGCTCTGTTTTGACATCTGTAGATATTACACTCATATTTGGGTCTGTAACAAACAGCGGAGCTGTGGTCCGATTCCAAATGAACCCTGGCTGCTGGGGATGGGAACACGGTCTATGACGAAATGAGGGACTCGTCAGCAGAGCTCGCTTTCCTCTTCTAGCAGCAGGTCAGCGCTGTACCATCAGCATCATCTGCCTGTTTTAACGTCTCACTCTTTACAGACTCTCAATTACTCTCGTTTCTGCATCACGAGCTGCTGTAAAATTAAATGATCATTTTAGTGGAGCATCAGCGATGCAAGGGTTAAACTCAAACTGATAAACCAATGACAATGAAGCAGATATAAAATAAGGTTTATGATTTTTGTTGATTGTGACGATGCTAATCCAGAAGCCCGGTGAGTGGACTGAGGTTTGATTTCAAATGAATCACAAAAACCCTTAAAACTAAAGAGAAACCTGAAGACAAAAAGTCAGTGGAGTATTTTCAGTGAAATCGCTGTACTGCAGCTCCAAATCACAGTCCACATCCTCCTCACACATTTCTATTCTTTTTCCTTTTTATCCTTTTTAATCTCTGCAAACATATTTTTTAAAGTAACTGCAAATTTAGGGATCTGCGATTGAGCCAAAATGGATGATCTGGTCTTTTTCAGGCTCTGATTCTCAGGTTTTTAGTTTCGGCACTTAAGAAAAGAAAAAGAAAAGTGTGTTTAAAAAGCTGATTTTAGTTTTTCTGTGAGCCGCTATTCTTCGTAGTAATAAACAGGTGGGCTTTGGGGTGGAAAAGGTTGAGAACCCCTGATTTAGTAGGTCTGTTTGAGCAGAAAAGTCATCTGTGTTGGATTAAGGCCCTCAAGACCCCGGCATTAGTCAGTGGAAGTAACTATAAATACTCCAACTCATTACCCACAACTGTGTAAATGCTGCCATTTAAAAGTTTTTACTTGTCATAGAAATAATTATTGTTTTAAATAGTAGCTGAAACAGTGTTGATTAAAAATACAATAAACTAGACACCATCTACTTAGAATATTTTAGAAGCAAGAAGGTAAGTGACAAATACTGGGGATGTACGATGATATCAGAACCATATTGGTATTGACAGTTAATTGCTTTAAAAAAAAGCAGCATATTAGATGCAAAGGCCCGATTCACATTTACTGCCTCTTTCATTTGGCTGATAAAGTTAACAGGTCAACACTTTCACACTGGCTGCATGAGTGAAGTGGCAGCGCATCCCAGACGCAGCACTATATTCAGAGAATAGAGGAGCAGATTTTTTCCATGCGCCCAATACTGAAATATCATGTAAGTCATGAACGCTGTTTAAACAAATACCGTTTAAACATTCTGTGCTGCACACAGGTTTCCCAGCTGGCCTGTCAAGCTGGAAAGTTTTGTTTTTATTGAGCAGAGTTGCTTTGACTATTCATCGGTGTAGATAAAGGATGACTGTATAGTTCTTGCTGCTCTTAGATTTCAAACTGATAATTGATGTGTGGATTGTTCTCCAGACGAGCAGATGTTTAGGTGATATTGGACTGTTGTGCTAAAATGTCACAAAGAACCTAAATCTTAGGCAAAAGTATTAGGCACCAAAGCACATTTAAGAAAACCTGATTCTGATTAAGTATAATGAAGTATTGATTAACCAAACCAGCTGTTTGATCATAACTATAAATAACACAGACCTGCTGAGAGGAGAGCTCTGGAAACGGTTGGATACATTAAATCACTATTTATTGTATTATTTGCATTTATTATAATTGTATTGTTTTTTTCTGAGGAAGTAAATGCTAATTAATCGTGTGCGTGTGTGTGTGTGTGTCTGTCTGTGTGTGTGTGTAAAACAGAGCCTGGGTTCTGGAGAGCGGGTCCTCTACAGTCTGTATGGCATTGTGGAGCACAGTGGTTCCATGCGAGGTGGGCACTACACGGCCTACGTGAAGGTCAGAGCACCACAGCGTAAATCAGAACAGCGCAGAAACCAGTCAGGTACAAACACCTACACACACTGTGTTACACTATATGGTTTACAGTTACTGACTGTAGCCCGTCTGTTTCTGCATAATTTATACCCCCACAATTTTCTGCCATTCTTCAGTTAAACAGAGCATCTTGCACCTCCACTCTCTGATCAGGCAGCCATGCTGCTGTAAAGAGTGTACAGAGCTGTACAGAGTGTGGTTGGTGTTGAAATAATCATGGACATCCCTGAAAAAGACAACGTCTATAATGCAGCTTATTTTGCTTTGATGTATTCAGTGTTAATGGTGCTTTCACCGATGTGCAGGTTTCCGACTAATACCCACCCCCCCAACCCCCACATACCATGACAGATGCTGGCTTTTGAACTTTACACTGGAATAATTCTGGACGGTCTTCTTTTCTTGGTTGGCCCAGAGAACACAGCATCTGTTATTTCCATAAACGATCTGAAAGGTTGACTCCTTAGACCACAGTACAGTTTCCACTGAGCGTCAGTCCATTTCAGATGAGGCGCCGGAGATGGCGGTGATGCTTCTTCACATTGTTGACGTGCGGTTATGGCTTCCACTGTGCATGTAGTCTTAGCTTGCATTTTGGATGTAGCGATGGTTTTTGTTTATTGCCATCGGTTTGTCAAAGTATTTCCGAGCTCAAGTAGTGATTTTCATCACATTCAAGAAGCAGTTTTTAATGCGTTGCAGACTGAGGGGTCGAAGGTCATGGGCATTCACTTGTGGTTTTTACAGAGATTCCTCTAGAATCTTTTGATGATATGCTGTGTAAAAAAACAGCAGGCTGCCTTTGTTTGGTACAGAAAATGATGGAATATTATTTTAGAGAGCTACGGAGTTAAAATGGAATTGAGTTTGAGTGGGAAGGTGAAAACAAACAGGAGTAGATGACGTACAGAGAACAAAGAAAAACTGGCTTCATTAAATAGAACTGAAGTAGCTTTTAACATGGCAGCTTTTACTTGATAAAGAAAAGCTTTTTAGGCCCAATCCCATTCATTTTTACCCCTGTTTTTGACTATTTATTATCGCCCACCTCTAATTCTTCAGTGATATGAAGCTGAAGTCAGATATTCACCAGATTCTTGTTCAAATTTTCCCATTCCACCTTAAATGGAGCTGCAGTTCTGATGCCTGAGGCGCCAGAATGTAAATACTTCACCATTTAAGGTGGAACAGGAAATTCAGCTACCGAAACATCAGCACTACTAGTGATTTTTTATGTGTGTTATGAAGACAAGGACCAAAATACACTGAAACTACATTAAACTAATGTAATACAGTGGTTATCGTAATTTTTTAACAGAAAATTCTAACATTTGTGTGTTTCTTTGGTCTCTTGTGCTCCATCTTACCAGTTTTTCTTTTTTTCTCATAACTCTCTGTTTGGAGTCTCTGAAAATCCTCTGTTTGGAGGGTCATGTAGCCCCAACACTTAGTAGGGGTGAGGGGTGAAATTTGTAGGGATGAGGGGTGAAATTGGGCTTTAGTTTCTGTCTCACGGTGGTTGGTTTTATATAGTGAAGAATAGACTTTTCTTTGAATAACATGTAACTTACTTGAAAGGTGCTTAAAATATGATATCATGAAAAATAATTAACCACTCATTGATCATGTATAGTAATATAATTAGTAGTAGTAGTTGCCATAGCATAATATAATAATAATAATAATAATAATAATAATAATAATATCAGTTATCTAGCGTTATATAAATAGACTTTATGGTAACATAACCGAGATAGTCTCCAACAGACACCTTATAATTAAAGAGATTGTTCACTGGTTGAAGAATGAATGGAAAAGCTCATAATGCTCTGCATGGCATCTGTTTGCAGAGAAAGTGCCACCTTTCAAGAAAAAGAGCCAGTCAGCTTGCTGGTTACGGCGCGAGTGGAGGAAGATATTGTGGCACTAGTGTGGAAATGTTTTTAAAATGGTAACTTCGCCTTCAGTTTGGAGTATTTTGGTCTCTCCCCATTTAAAGAGCGAGGAGTCTGGTCTTTAATGGTTGGAAATAACTGCCCGGCAGCGTTGCAAAGATGCGTAAACAGACTTTCCTAAAAGTACATTTGCTGCCTTCACATGCTATCAGAATTATGGTAAATACGAGTTCCTGACTTGGGTGTTGCACATAAACACCCCCTCAGGTCGTAATTTCTAGTGAGAAATTCAGAGATAATTTTGATTCCCGAGTTCCCGAGTTGAGGTGGCCTGCAAAGAGGACAGTTTCAGTATCGGATGGTACGTAATTCTTTATTTTTAACAGTGCAGCTGTACTTTATGGTTGTTAGAGCACATTATTTTAATCTGTAATCTGTTGTTTAATCCATAGCAAATCAAACTAAATCCCCAGTAAGCAGGTGAGAACAAACCTCACGTCCATAATTTTTCATTTTGCCTCAACAACTAATCACTGTACGAGGCATGCTCATAATTCTGACTTTACAAGTGGGAAGTAGGATCTTCTGACTGGCACATGAAGGCAGCACGAGTCTCCGATGAGAAAAAGGATTTCGGCTGAAATGAATGTAGAGCTGTTTTACCTTTTTAGGTGAGCAGCACTGGTGTTGTACAAGAGCTTTGCATCAAATTTAGCATAAGTAATGATTTCAGGATTTCAGGATGGTTAGTTTCATCCTCCTTCTCAGTGCGGCTCCCTCTATTACATAGACCTGTTCAGTTCCATTAGCAGGATTAGATAAATTGCTTTAAATCTAATTTTCTCAGGTGGCCTAAGAGTTTTGTGCAGTGCTGTACACAAACACAAGCATGGCCTTGCTTTCCTCTCTGTGAGCCTGTCCAGCGTCTTTGTTGAGCTGGTTGTGGAGGCTGGGAAGTATGTGGAGTGTGTGGCACTTTATCCCTACAGCTTGAGTGTTCTGTTGGCGCAGCAGAGGCTAAGCTGCGTTTGTTTACCGCCGAGCCGCGGGTGTATTCTTCTCTCAAGGAGACGAATTGTTTGTGTTGGTAAAGAAGTGCTGAACCCAAGGCTGTGTTGTTTTGGCCATCAAAAGGTCAGAAGTCCAGAAAACACTTAAATAAAACACACTTAATAGCACAGCAAGTCCATCTTTACGTTTTCCAGTGCCTGCCCCCCTCACCCCTCGCTCCCTCTGTACTGGTCCTTCACTGAGGTTGAGGCAGTTAAAGGCAGCCCTATTCATTAAAATCCATATGTCAAACACAGGGCTAAGTCAGACCCGTGACACAGTCCTGTTCGACCCGCAAAATGATTTTAATTTTCTATTCTTACCAGCCCGTTTCACCCTGACATGCACTATAGTTCCCAGCATGAACTGCAACAAAGTGTGCGTTTGACCCCTAGCAACAATCTCTGGGCGAGCGGTTACACAAAAAGAAAAGATTGTGTGTAGCTCAAAAAATAGGCAGTAAAAAAAAACAAAACAAAAAAAAACCAACTACCTAAAACTATTTATTTTTATTTAGAATTATTTTTGAATTATTCATGAATTATTATTTTAGAATAAGTATTCAGTGCCTATTTTGCTGTTGCAGTTCTGGCATATTTTAAATAAACAGTGGCCCTTTTGATCTTGGCAAAGTGTTAAGTAAAAACTCAATAAAAACACAGCTGCCCACAGGTTTACTGAGATTTTTAATATGGACCTTTTAGGGGTTGAGTTTGACACCCCTGCTTTAAAGCATCGGTCACCAACCCTATTCCTGGAGATCTGCCTTCCTGCAGAGTCTGTTTCTAACCACATTTGGTCAATTAATTCAGAAGTACCTGATTGGCTGAATTAGATGCAGCATGTTAGATGCAAGTTGGAATTAAACCCTATGTGAATGTAGATCTCCAGGAGGAGAGCTGGTGACCTCTGCTATAAAGGAATAGTTTCGTAAAAAATCAGATTCACCTAATTTTTCCCTTCACAAACTAACATCCACTGGGTAGGAAGTAGCTCATGTAGACACTCTCATAAACATCATTAACCTTATACTGCTGAGCAGTAGTGTTAGCTCATCAGCTCATCTGAAGAGGCAGCATCTATTACTCCTCCGTCATAATAGCCTGCTGGTCACCTTTCTTTGAGAAGGGTTTGACTATTTTAGCCTCCTAACCAGTGTTACTGACTTAGAAAGTGAGCCTCTTTTCTCCCTGTGTTTAACTGAATATCTGTTCACAAACTTATATGGATGTTAAAATTGGTCAGAATGCACATCCCTTGTTCTTAACTACACCACATATTTTTGTCTGTTATTAAAGGCTCAGCACAGATTGACTTGGCCTGTAACTCACTACCTCACTCGCATACTCTGCCACGTTTAGCAGTCTGAAGATTTTCAACAAGGGGGTGCAATTAGCATTCAAGCAGGTCTCGATGCTTCGTGAGAGTGGTGCTTTAAATCAGTGACACCTGTAGGCAGCAGTACGTCATGTATTTTCATTGTGTACATCGCGTATGAATAAGTTTGGGTTCCACCCACACTGTGTGTTTTGATGGCAACAATTAAAAAGCACAATCTGCACTCACAGATGTTCAGGATTTATTTTCCATGCATAACAAAAAGAAACTATGACCTTTCTAGCTGCTCTTTCTTTGTTAAACTTGAGAAACAAATCTTAAGCGTTGCGATTTGATTTTTGACTGTTGAAATCAGCAGTTCTGTAAGCCGCTACTTTGTCTCCTGTTAGGTCATTAGAAATGTGGTAGAAATGTAAAGAATGTTTTTTTCTTACTGCAAGACAAGATTGTACACAGCAGTAATTTCATAAATTATAAAATATCCTGCTCAAAGCAGCACTATGTAAATGTTTTGGTTTAAATCAGAAAAAAAGTAGCATTAATGAGTCAAGAGAAAAACACGCTAAAATATGACGTGTGTGCTGCTGCGAGTCGCCCTGTAGGTGTCAGGGGTGTTTTTAGACCACGTCATACATCTTTACGTATTAACGTCACACGCACAGGCTCAGAAAGATGGTCTGGTTCGATGTTTAGATCTTTAATGCAAAATTAACATCATAGTGATGAAGATCTGATGACAATAGCAGATAATTCACTTACCTTATCCTTTAAAGAGTCGTCCTTCTCTTTGAATTTTCTTTCAACCCGCTCACCATCATCAGATCCATCCATTCAGGCATGGGGTCCAAAGCACAGCCCACGTTACAAAACGTTCTTTCACACATTGCGTGCAATTACACATTTCCACCAGAGAGGTCTCCAGATCCCCAAATCTTACACGATGTAGCTTTAATGTGATCGTAACACATCGCTGAGCATGGAAGAGGTCTCCTCTCCTACTTACACTAATGTGGCGTTGATTAAAATCTTGGAATCTTTACTCTCAACAGAATTTCTGTGCTTTTTCTGAGAGCTATAAACAAGAAATACTGTAATTTCATGCGTTTGTTATAACTGCTGCTTCTAAAACCTGCTTGTCTTTTGTGTTTGTCATCAGGTCCAAGAGAAGCCACGTCTGCCCCTCCAGGCCAGTGGGTGTATGTGAGTGACACCAGTGTCCAAACGGTGCCGGAATCCCGCGTCCTGAACTCACAGGCCTACCTGCTGTTCTATGAGGAGCTCCTGTAGGGGGCGCTGACTCGCACAGCTGAAGCAGGACAAACTGCTAATTTAATGCCTCTGCGATTCGCTTTCAGATGCAAACTTGTCCATATTAACACGTCACAGCCTCTGCCTTGGTTACGGAGTGGACTGCAGTGGTGAAAACAGTGTGTCTGAAGATATTATAAATAGAAAATTATATTCTAAATTTAGAATAATTTATATTTTACAGCTAAGATTTGATTGTATAGACTATCATACGCTTTTGTCTGTTAAAAAAGGAAATGATGCGTGTTTGTTGTTTTTTTTTTTTGGTTTCTGTTTTTTTGTTTTTTTGATGAAAGGAATGCCAAAGACTATATATGACAATGAAGACTGTGGAGTAAGATGTGCCAAAAGATTCGCGCTCTGGCCTTTTGCTTTTACAGGGAACCTCAACACAGCATGCAGGAGTTGCTTGTATGCGTGTGAGACGGTAAATGAGTGGGTGTTTTTGTGCTGAGAACCGGCACACAAACACCTGTCAGCGATGTATAGATATTGTGCTGCGCTTATGAAGGGACAATTCTACACTCACGAGGTTGCCTAGCTACCGAAAGAATATACGGTACATATTGTTTTTGTTTGTTTTTTTCACTCTTTCCCTTTATTTTTGCATTTATTCAGTTTGCTTTGCTGTTCCGCTTAGATTTGCAGATTCAGTGACTTCAATATACAATGCAAGTAAAGCACTGAACATAACAGTTACTACATAATGCAATAATACACATTTCTTAAATCAGCCTGTTTTATTTCAGTGAGAGCTGAACGAGACTACAGTCCTGCAGGAGAAGCAGTTCTAAAGGGGAATTCCACCCAAGTTTCAGTGTTTCAGCATTTCTGCACAGTTCAATTAGGGCTGAATGTTTGAGGAAAATATTACATTGTGATTTTTCTGGCCAAAACTATGACTTACAATTTTGATTTCAATTACAAGGTATTTCAATTTAAGGTTGTTAATAATATAGGCTATAATTAAAATTTCAGTTTCTGCAATCACTAAATTGCAGTCTTGATATAAAAACAGTCTTTTAGTTTGAAATTCAATTGGATGTAAATGAAGTCATTCAGAGTGGTTTGATGGATGATTAGAATTGGTGCATCGTAGAGAAGCTTATCAACTTGAATGTCTTTACAGTGGTGGTGAAAGGAACTGGGAGTCACAATGTCTACAACACAGATATTTAATTTAGTACCCAAAAAGGCTAGTGAATCTACAATAAGATGTCTTCTGAGTTTTATATGTAATGATGGTGAAATTGTGTTAAAACCTGAACATTTTCTTTAAGGACTATTTTGCCTCACAACGCCCTGCGTTTTCCCCTCTGCCAAGAAAATGTTTAAAACAAAGGTTAAAGCTTTATCGTAACGCTGTTGTAAAAGAAGCTTGTTTACACGTTTCGTGTCCGTAATACATCTGGATATACTTTGGCCAGATTTCAGGTACCCAGAGGGACCAGATCAGATCCTATTATAGTTTCCTGCATGAAAAACACATCAGCACATGCGATATTCCTCTGTTCTATTTCTGCCCGAGTCGACAGGCTGGGCTTGAATGCTTTCATCAGCCCAGAGTGCAAGAAGGCACTTAGATTCCGGATTTTGATCCCATCATCAAAAGTGCATGTTGAGGCGTAGACTGTCCCATATTTGTTAAACCTCAGCTGGAAACTACGTGTGTTGATGTGCTTTTTACATGGGAAAGTAAAATCCCATCTGGTCACCCTGGGGAAATTTTAGTGAAAAGTGTAAATTAAATCCAGCCAAAACTACCAGATACGATCTGTACACTAAAACATAGTAATGCAAGTTGGAAACTCAGTGTCTCAGGCACCGTGTACTCATGATCACTTTGTATAAAGGATTTCTGTGAGGGAGCTTTTAGAGTTGGATGTCTGGTTCCTATCACCACCATTGTGAAGAGTGGAATGGAGCATTTCACACCAAACCACTTGAAATGACTTTGAATTTTAAATATCTAAATATTCAGAAATTGTGTAAAATTGGTGGAATTCCTCTTCAATACTCCCTTTTGCTGCTATGTCAGTGGCCACAGCAGCCAGGGTTTGTTTTGCATGGCCTAAATCGTATTAAAACCGTGAGGAGTGTGTTTCTGTATCCTGGTCAGCAATATGCCTGTGAGTACATTCTGTCAGATCCATAAGGTTAAGCTGTATCTTATATATTCTGCATATGTTAAACACTGTGTTGCATCAGGTTGCAGGGCTCCTCAAGCTTTTTTGGCTTGAATTTTGTGTATAAAACTTACCTGGTAACCAAATGATGGAAGATGGCGTCTTAAACAATGTTCAAGTGATGCATTGAATGTTCAGGTGAGTGTAACTCACATTCATCCTTTTTTAAAAGAGTGCATTGCACACTGCTGTTCTGTCTTTTCTTTCTCCGTCTTTTCTGTATTTTAATAGTTAATAGTTTAATACCGGACTCTGCAAGAGTAGCCCTATGAAAATGTTTGGCTGCCCCTGGTCAAATTATGTTTAGTTGATTTTAGAAAACAAGTTAACGTATCCTATACAGCAGTGGTCACTAACCCCTGTCCTGCAGAGTCTAGTCCCAACCACAGTCCGTCAAGCCTGCTCCAGGTAATTAAGAGTCAAGTCAAGAGTCAAGAGGCTTTTATTGTCATTCCATCTATGTACAAGTACACAGTGGAGTGAAATTACGTTCCTCCAGGAACAACACGGTGCAACAAGGAACAAAAAGTACAAAATTACAAAGTGCGAATGTGCAGACAGTGTGCAAACAGAAATTAAGCTAGAAACAATACAATAAATACGATAAACAGACATTAGACACAGTAAACAGACCAGACAGTGCAGCACCGACACAGCACAGATTTCTGGACATGACATATCAGACATATTTAACATGATGTGATCTGTAAGTTACGTCAGATAACATACATAAACACAGCAGTAACTGTGGTAGTAAAACAATTACAATTACTGAGGTAGTAAAACAGGCAGTCGTGGGCTGGAGGTTAGGGAACCAGCCTTGTGACCGGAAGGTCGCCGGTTCGATCCCCTCAGCTGACAGTACGTGACTGAAGTGCCCTTGAGCAAGGCACCTAACCCCCAAGTGCTCCCTGGGCGCCGTGGATAGGGCTGCCCACTACTCCGGGTAAGTGTGCTCACTGCCCCCTAGTGTGTATTCACTAGTGTGTATGTGGTGTTTCACTGCATGGATGGGTTAAATGTGGAGCTCTAATTCCGATGTGTTCAGACACAGTTGGCTAAAAGGTTCATTTCATTTCAAACAGTTACTGAGGTGGTAAAACAGTTACTGAGGTAATGAAAACTGTAAACACAGTATTGGCAACAATGTTCCAGATAGTGCAAGTAGAGCATCAAAAGAGGTGTGTATGAGTGTGTGGGGGGGCTTTAGTTCAGTCTTTGTGAGTTTAAAAACCTCATTGCTTGAGGGACAAAGCTGTTGAGTCTGGCAGTGATGGCACAGATGCTCAGGTACCTTCTGCCAGACGGCAGCAGTGAAAAAAGCTCACTTGGTCCCTCAACACCAACTCCATAGCTAAGAGAGCACAGCCTACTTCCTACGTAGACTGAAGAAGGCTCGTCTCCCCCCTCCCTGTTCTACTGCTTCGTGGCTGAGCTGTTGTTGCTCCTGGATGCTTCCATTTCACAATAATAGCACTTCCAGTTGACAGGGCAGATCTAGCAGGACAGACATTTCTTGAACTTACTTCAAAAAAGGTGCCATCTTATGTCACTGAGCTCATCAGTGTGACCCTCTACTGTCAGTGTTTGTCTATGGAGACTATGTGCTTAATCGTTCCTTAATTTTCTATTTCCTGAGGAGGCTGAGGTCCTTTAACATCCGTGGGAAGTTCCTGCAGATGTTCTAATCAGACCATGGTTGCCAGCTGTCTGTTTTATGCTGTGGTGTGCTGGGGGGAAGCATGAAAAAGAGAGATGAGATAAGATGGTCAGGCGAGCGGGGTCAGTGGTCGGTGTGGAACTGGACTCTGTGGTTAAGGTGGCCGAGAGAAGGATTATTATTACTGTCCTGTGTTGTGTGACTGCTACTGGCTGCTAAATTTCTTTCGGGATCAATAAAGTATCTATCTATGTATCTATCGAGTGCACCTGTTAGGAATGGGTGTGGCTGAAACACCTTAATAATTAGGAGGTGTGTCCACATATTTTTGGTTTTGTAGTTTATGTAAATGTGTTGGGTTTTGTGATGTGAATTTGGTACACAATTTGGTAGAATGTATTTCTTGATTCAATATTAATTAAATATTAATTATTATTTTTCATTCTTGCCTACAGCATTTGGGGGCCCTCAAAGGTGATGTCGCTTATGGCCCCCAAATTTCAGAAACAGCCCTGATTACTACCGTAACTTCTCTGTCGCTTCGTCTTTGAGCACTAGAGGGTAAAAACAGGTCTATACCATCATTATAAAGAGACTGCATTGCGGACAGCTGCCGTTTGTGTCCCCTGCTGTTTTGTTTTGTTCTTCTGTCCTCGGTGTCCGTTAGTCTGTCCTGTCACTGCAGATTCCAGCGGCTATAAAGGAAAAGGCCACTGTCCCAAACCATCCCGCAGCCTCGCGCTGACACCCTCAGACCAAACTGTTGGGACATGCGAGTGTCAGGACACCAACTTGAGCACGCGATGGTTTTGGGCAGGGTGTCAGGACACCAACAGCAGCGTGCGATCTTTTCGTGAAGCGCGTGTCCGTTTTTCGCGAGCGGGAGATGATTTAATGCGAGTTAATGATGACAGGCTGACAGGAGGATGACGGGGGGTGGCGCTGTGGTGCCTTCGCACACAACCTGCTGAATGTGTGCTGAAGCAGGCCGGTCTAAAAACATCTACCAGACACGCATTACACATCTGCAGCCCCAGTTCAGCGTCTTAACAGCCTGTTTTTAGCGCGTGCGTGGGGGTTGCTTCCTTCCAGTCGCCCCAGGGAGGACAAACCAATTGGTCACATTGCATTTAGCGTCACTGATGCGCCTCAACCTTTTATTTCTTTCACATTTACGCTCTGAGGCTGTTCCGTCACTGCAGCTCACAGATCAGCCTGAGATTCGGATCCAGCAGTTAAGCTTTATTAATTAAAGGCTCAGTGTTGATTTCTTCCACGAGGCTGTGTTAATATGATAATCTGATTTCTCAGTAACGCAGAGTCACTGACGTGGTGATGGTGTGCCAGTGTGTGTTGCGCTGGTGCGAGTGGTTCAGACACAGCAGTGCTGCTGGAGTTTTATCCCGTGTGTGGTGTTGATGTGTTTGTTACTCAGTGGTCTGGCAACCGCTTGTTGTTTTAAATCAATAAAGCCATAACTATTTATGTAAAAATACCACACACACACACACACCACACACACACACACACACACACATATATGCAAACACATACACGCACTAACAGCAGGCCATGTAGGAGGAGAACAGAGTGAAGGACGCAGCACCTCCACACTTTTACTCCCCACGGGTTTTTATTCCATATTATTTTATTTTATACACCACACGTGTAATATAAATGTGTGGGTGGTGAACGGAGTGAAGACACTGAAAATGGGTTATTTTATATGTTCACAGAAAATGAGCAAAGGACAAGAATCTGAGGTTGAAATAATAATAAATATCATCACTTTTCTTTTGATAAGCATTGAAAAGTCCCACAGACCTGAACACCACACTAGGGTTAAACACCTCAGTGTCTCTGCTGGACTGAGAACCAAAAACATCCAGCCAACAGCGTCCTGTGACCACTGATGAAGGATTAGAGGATGACCAGCACAAACTGTGCAGCAGCAGATGAGCTATCGTCTCTGACTTTACCTCTACAAGGTGGACCAACAAGGTAGGAGTGTCTAATAGAGTGCACAGTGAGTGGACACTGTTTAAAAACTCCAGCACTGAATGACCCACCACACAAATAGTACCTGCTCTGTGGGGGTCCTGTGGAGGTCCTGACCATTGAAGAACAGGGTAACAAAGTATGCAGAGAAACACATGGACTACAGCCTGTAACTGTAAAACTACAGAGTGAAACTATATGGTCAGCGTATGATGTCACTTTCCTACTGAAAAAGCCAATTAGAACCATTAGGACTGAAACCAGGGTTTACTTTCTAATGGGAACTGGCTTAATGCTTACTATTATACTATTAGAGACTATTGGTTTCCTGTAGAACAGTCTTAGATCCCATTAGGATGGAATGCATCTGTAATCAGTCACAGAACACACACACACACACACACACACACACACACACACGTG